GAGGAGCCGGCGGGGCATGTGCCCCCCACCAGCTCACGAACTGCAGCGCGATCCCAATGCCTTCCTCCCAACCCACTCCCATCCCCAGCCAGGTGGCACGTGGAGCTCTGCCCAGCCCCGGGAAGGCTAATCCTCCTACCTCCTTGATCTGCTGCAGCCTCTCCTCCAGACAGTCCATGGTTTCCTGCTCCTGCTTCAGCTTCTCCAGCCGGGAAATGAGCTCGGCGGCGAAGGCAGCTGGCTCCACCGGGGTCATCTCCTTGGGAAGACGGTGGGTCCTCTACAAGGAGCGGGGACAGAAGGCACAAGGCATGTTTAGCGGGCAGCGCGGGGCGCGGGCGCTTTGCCGCAGCGGCATCGCCGGCCCCGCTACGCTTGTTGTGTCTCCATGTTTGGATGAAAAGACGACCGCAACTAGGCATGGTCTGCTCTGGATTTTTATGAGCTAGTGCTGTGGCCTCATGGAGTGACATCCTCCCCACCAGCGTTTGCCTTCGGCAGGAGCAGTTGGTCGCACTCTGAGGAACCCCGCTTGTTCTCTCTGTAGTACAACCAGCCCATCAGTAGCTACTCTGAAGTAGAAAATCTTCAAAGACTGTTGTCAAACATCAAAAAAAAAAAAAAAAAAAAAACCTCTGAGGTGGGAGGGAGAGACTTTAACTAAAGGAATAAAGTGAGTATAAACAGAAAGGAGTTGGAAATTAAAAAAAATAAGATGGGGGAGAAAAAAAGGGAAAGGAGAAAAAAAAAAAAGGGAAAAAAAAAAAAAGAAGTCAAACGGTTGCAGATCAGAGAAGTGCTGGTAATTTATTTCCTGGCTACACACTGGGCACCTTTGAGGTAGTGTTGTCTCAACAGTGTCCTAGATCTCTTCCCCCCCCCTCCATCTCTTTGTACAGAAAATGAAGAAAGCTGCTGCAGGCTAGCGGTGCTACACTGCTGAGCTTGGCTGCCTCAAGCAGATCTATCAAGGGAAAAAGGGAACATCTCCAAATCAAGTGCAGAATATAAAAAGGCAAAACGCGAATTTCTGCCAAAAGAAGCAAACATGGCAGGAAAAGGGGAGGGAAAAAAAAAAAAAAAGAGGAAAAAGAAACCACCCACTCGACTCTGCCCTCCCTCCTGCCATCCCCACGCACCCCACTCCTTGCCCCCACTCTCCCTCTTTTCCCCCTCCCAAAAGCAGAAAGCTGAACTGCCAACTCTTTCACATACTACCCACCAGATGAGGTGGGGCCTCTCTCCGGCAACCACTTAGCTCCAGAAATGATGTGAGGGTAGAAAAAGGCCACTCTGCTGGAAATTGTCACTCTTACACAAGCTGGCTCTATTCAGTCCCTGATCAAAGCACTGCCTTACAGAGAAAGTCGATTTGCACGCCCTGGGACAAAATAATCTAATTTACAAGCTCAGGCTATAGAACTTTCTTTAGGAAGGAAGGGGAAAAAAAATACCAAAAAGAAAAACCACATAAACCAACCCCCCCCTCCAACAGAAATATCATCTATGACTTCTTGCTGCTTAAGACAGCAGAAAGAGGAATTTTAGCATATTAATCTGAAGACAAGATAAGTTTATACTTGTCTGTGTAAACAGTTTATTCACTGCAGGAATCGGGGAGTCTGCGAGGCAACTGAATTAGCAAGTCAGCGAGTTAATTTTCAAGAGCAGAGCAACACCACACATCAGATCCCCTCAAAGCCAGGCACGGATCTGCTGCCAATGTCTGTTTTGGGAGATCCTGCTCCCCACCAGCTCTTGGTGGCCACCATCAATGCACATGGGGCCAAGCCCTGCTCCGCTCAGCACCGCAGAGGTGTCAGGGTGATGGCCAGAGCCAAGGCCCTCACTAGACCCAACCAGGGCATCTCCACTTGGATTTAGGCCAGAAGGACAAATTCAGAGCCTTAATTAGCACCTGGTTTCAGGGAAGGACCAAGATGTGACTGTACACAAGCGGGTTTTTGGAACGATGCTGAGAGCACATGGCTCCTGCCCAACACTTTGCAGCATTTCTGCTCTGGCATCACCTTGGGATGGAAACGCTCCCCTCCCCTGCTCCCTTCCCTCCACATGTGCGTGGTCCCAACCCCAGCATTTCCCACGACCCACCCAGAACCTGCAGCTCCTGCCTGAACTCACCGGAAAATGAGGTAGAGAAACTTGACCGTTGGCCTTGACGCTCCGATGCATTTCCCGCTGGAGCTGCTTCTTGCTCCCAATTCTGTACGGGGGGATCCCATCTCTGCACATGGAAGAGAGGCCACCATCAGCTAGGGCTGTCCCCATGCTCTAACTGAGACACTTCTCCATCCCCCCTGGAACCACCCAGCCACGCTGCAGGCCCTCATTCCCAGAGGTGCTGAGCCCTCTGGATGTCACCTGAAGCCTCAAATATCTGGCGGTGTGGGAAGTGCCTGTGTCACCATTACATGGATGTGCAGTAATTAAGCAAAAGCTCAAAAGCTGAAGGCAACTCCGCATGGGAAGACACCCAAAGATCCCATCAGCTTCACTTCCAAGGTATCTTACAGGAAGGCCCTTCGAACGCCAGGCTTCTGCTTCTGACCTTTATTTTTGTTGCTTCTTCCCCACCAAATTACACTCTAGGACCACAATGTCCCTCAAGCTCTGAAACAGCCCATGGAGTGCTGGCATAGTGGAAACAAGAAGGAAGAGGATGGGGATGGATGGCCACCCAAAGGCTGCTCCCCCTCTCTACCCCTACTTAAGATCCAGGATGTTTCTCCTGCCCTGAGGTTGGCCGGCACAGGACACCTCAAGGCATGAGCATGGACCCTTTGGCCAGGACACTGCTCCCCTCAGCCAACACTGCTCCCGGCCAGGAAACCACAAGGAGAGAGACCAGGCAAGGAGCTCCAGAGGAAACAGCCCCCTGCACACCCAGCTCCAGGCACCTTCACCCAGCCACACAAAAAATTACCCCAGTTAGGATTAAAGGGCCTTCCAGAGACAGCGGGGCCAGCCGGAAGAGCATGCCTGGAGATCCTGAATGTCTAATTCCACCCCTTCCCTCAGACTGGCTGAATAACCTTGATCTCCAGTCCCGGCCCTTTCATCCACCTGCCCCCACACCTGACTCATCTCCTGAGCACAGAAAATAGCTCCTGCCCGAGGAGGAGCTGCGGCAGCCCAGCAGACAGCGGCGGCCCCACGCTGCTGCCACAGGAGCCAACGTGGCACAGCGTCCCCTCCCGTGGCCACAGGGGTGGTGGGCACACGCCGACACACAGCCAGAGACAAGAAGTGTTCCCAGAGAACACCACGTCCCTTGTCTTGAGGAGGAGGAGGAGGATCAGATCACTCCAAGTTTGAGGCACGCTACGGGCAGAGCTTTGTGAAGATCTTGGCCAAAAAGCATCCAGTTGCCATAAAATTGTTTTTAATGAGCAGGATTAAGCTGCGAAGCCTGGAGTGAAGGATCAGAACAATTTCATTTTAATAGACTTGGAAAAACTTTTGTAAGAAAAACGAGCATGCTGGGACCACAGAAGAGGCCCTTGATGCCACAAGATGAACATCAGCCTCCTCTGGACAGGGTTTATGAGTGCATGTGACATGGCAAGTGAAAGGAGCTGACTGTCCTCATGTCCCCACTGCACAATGTGGGGCTCTGAGGCCTTTCTGGGGGAGCAGCCCAGCACACAAAGGCCAACACAGCCAGCCATGGCCACCAACCACAGCCGCTGGTGGCCACCAAGGACCTCTCCACGCTCTCCATAAAGGCCACCGAGCATTTCTGCTCCACAAACCCACGGGGCAACAGTTCTTGGGGCACATGACATGCCTTAGCTTTGGGGGAGGATGGGGGAAAAGCAATTCTAAGGTGAAAAGCAAACAACCTCTACCTTCAGACATGCCTTTGTTAACTGAGGCTTACCAAGACAAGGCTCTCTTAGGGAAGACCTTCAATATAGGGAATACCCAGGAAAACAAGTATTTTAAAAGTAAGTAAAAATGCCAGCACGAGCATGTCACATGCATATGAACAAATGGGATTAATCCCACTAACACACATGGAAGAGGAGGTGTCCTCTATCCGTGGCAGTCCAAGAGGCCAGTTGGGAGGAACAGGGAAGCAGCTGAAGGCCCGTGTGTCCACCACCACAGGGCACCCAAGGACATGACCAGGGATAACAGCCCTCCTGCACTGCCCACCTCCCTCCAGGTCTGCAAGGACAAGATGCTGTCCCCAACCCCTCTGCTGTGGCCACCAAGCTGGGAGCACATCTCCTTCAAGCTGCCAGCTCCAGGAGGACATCTCTGCCCAAAGGGACAGTCCTGGGACAAGCTATGGGGCAGGAACAGAGACTTGTGATATTCCCAGGCAGGGTGGCTTGTAAAGGAGGAGGAAAAGCAACACTGACCCAACAGCACAGCTCCTCTACTTGAGATTTACCCTCGTTCAGGTTGATACAAAAACTGCTCCTTCCCCCTAAAATTCCTCTGGTTGCACAGGAGAGCCCCACATCAAACCTCCTGCTCTCTGCTTCCACAGCCCTGCCTTGGCAGAAGAGTTCTGCAACTTGTAACAACGTGCAGAATTAAAAAAACCCAGAGGTATTTCTCTGGGATGGGAAGGCAGTGGAGCAGCTTGGGAAAGTCAGCCTGGGGAATGGGGAGGGACTTTAGCAGCCACTTTGTTTTCACAGAAAACGGGGAAAATGGGCAAGGCCAGTGTCAAAGGGATGACCAACGAGTGATCCCTGACTGCAGGAGGGTCAAATAAATGGAGCTGGAGCCAGGATCAGCCCAGCAGGAGATATGGGGGACAGGGGGAATCCTGATGCTGGAGCAGATTCCCCCAACCAGGAGAAAGCACCTCTGAAATTAAAGAGCTGAGCTTGGCCAGAGGGTTCAGAGCAGGACAAGGGTTAACTAAGCCCAGCTCTCCAGGTGCCACCTCTCCCCCTGCTCCAACAGCCAACATTTGCACTCACTTCCTTGGCTACTAAAAGCTGTGGCTGAAGAGCTACAGAGTTGAGGCACTAAATAGTAGAGTTTAATTATAAACAGTTCAGCTAACCAGGCTGGGGCTAAGCCAATCTGTTTCTGGGGGAAACACTAGTTTGAAGTCTTCCACCCAGTCAGCTGCCATTTAAGCTGAGCCAATTATCTTAGCCTTTTGACTCAGATGTGCCTGACCTAACCTGAATGTAGTTTTACTGCTGCTTTGAAATATCAGACTCATGCGCATATGCATTCACTCCCATCTTCATTTGGCAACGGCTCTGAAACAAGCCTCTGATCTTGCCAACATCAAAAGCCTGGTTTGTAAGATAAGGTAATATTTGAAGTTTGCTCAGCAGCATTCCCCTGTGTCCAAAGTAAATCCATAAATAAGATATAAGCAAATAAAAAAAAAAAAAAATCCCCTTTCCTCCACCCCCCACCCCCCAAATCAAGAAATGGAAATATAAATTTGCATGATGCTTTGTGGCTATTACAAAATATATATAGGGACAGACTGATCCCTGGCATCTGGAATAAAATTAAAAAGGCAGATTATGCATTATTTGGAGATTTCTCCCAATTCCAGTGCAGTTCAGATTTAGATTTATTTAAAAAAAAAACCCAAAAAACAGTTTATTGCCATGTCTGAAAGACTTTTCCAGAACAAGTTTTTCCTCTTCAGTTCATACCAATATAAGCCAAAAGAAGTAATTTGCATTCACACTGATGGAACAGAATAAACTCAGTTACAAGGGGGTAGCACCTGGGCTCACCCAGGAGGGGTTTTGTGCCCCCAACACACCCCCAGCATCTCCAGCATCCAGCAGAGCCATGTGCCAGGAGAGCCTGTGAATCCCAACTGCTCCCCTGCAACCTTGGCATCAGCCCTTCGCCTCTGCAAAGGAAGTTTTACATCAGCCTTAACTTTAAGCCCAGCCTCCAAACCTGCCAGCTTACCTCTCCCACTTCCAAGAGAACCACCCAACACTCCCGGTGTGCTCCTGGTCGTGGCTCGGGGGGGTTGGGAAGGGGGTGCCGGTTCTGCAGCAGGAAATATTCCTTTCTGCCACCTCCCCAGGCCTCCCGCCGCCCCCCAACCTGGAGCTGCGGGCAGTTTAATCAGCCAAGCTTCCCCAAACTCTCACAGCCTGCGCGGGCCATTGTTATGGCAGGAAAAAACAGGCAGCTCCTTTCAGGCGCTGCTTTATGGGGAGCTCCTATTCACTTGTTCAAGCAAATTTCAAAGCGGGCTGCTGCCCTCTCATCCCCGCTAAGCTCCCCTGGACTAACAATGGGCTGAAAGCGATTCAGTTAAGCCTTTCATCCACCATGCACTTTATTTCTCACTCAGTGCTCTCATCTGTATAAGGCCTACAATTGGCATTGCTGTGAAGAGAGGGTATAATCCTAGCCCTGTGAATCCCAAGTGACCCTACACTGGTCCAGAAATGACTAACCCAATGAATGCTCTGTTGACACATGATCACATACAACCAGAGCCAGTAAGAAGAAATAAAGAAGTCACCCTATGATTCAGCTCTTTTATTTAATGCCAATATTGTTCAATAGGGGAATCTGGTGGGACAACAAACTATTTTTTTTCTGTAATATCAGTTCAAAACACACATGTGCATTTAAGGGAAAAAAAAAAGAAGCTTTTGTTTATGCATCAAGGATTTTTGGTAAATCCTGTTTTCCGTTGTGTATCATCACACATGTTGACTTTAAAAATCCAGCATGCAAGCCTCTCCAAGGAGTACACAGGGACCACTGGACATGTCTGACAGAGACATTGGAGAAGTTTCAAGATTAAGACCGGGAATGCAGCACTCTGCTCACAGGTGGGCTTTTCTGGAGCACTAGTTTAAGTGAAGATCATGAAACACAAACAGCAACATCTGCCTTCTGCTCAGCTGAAGAAAATGGTCCTTAAAAGCACTAAGTGAGCCTCACTGTCTCCTTTACAGACACAAAAGCACCATTTCTCTCCCGCTGGGGAAAGCAAACTGACAGTCAAACCCCTTGCTCCCAGTTGCACGCTTCTCAGCAACCAGGAGAAGCCAGATCCTGCAACTCCTGGGCTCAGCCACAGCATCATCTCTCCTCCCTGTGCTCCTGAAACACCCAGACCTGATCCATGCAGCTCCACTCAAACGGCTCTTTGAAGACTGCCCCAGCCACACTAAACGAGCAGCTATTTGCCCCTTCAGGTCACTGGCCCTATTAATGTACCTTCTGACATTAATGACAAACGTTAATTACAGAAAGTACTTCCTACAGGAAGTAATCTCCTTCTCTTTGATGACTGATAACTAGTTAAGGAAGCCTGGCCTTAAGACAAAGGCTCAGGCAGATGCACTCCTCGGGTTAGTCACCATCAGTGAGGGCAAAACATGTTTGCTCAGCTGCAGTTGCAAAATGGCAATAGAGGGATCCATTATTCCACTGCATCCGATACCTGCGGCGACGGGATGAGGAGAGAGGCTGCCGTGCCCTGCACACACCTCCAGGAGCAGGGGTGGGGTGATGACCCCAGACCCATCACTCCCCTAAGCCCCACAGTGCATCAGCACACCCCAAAAGGACCAGCAGCAGGTACTTACACGCTGCTGTCCGTCATCGACATGGAGTCGTCCGTCAGGGCATCACTGGAGATCTCGCTGTCGTTCGCGCTGGTCGCTGGGGCAAAGACATAGCCAGAGTTCACGTGGTATGGGTTAACAGGATCGTTCCTCTTGAAGGACCTAGGGACAAGCAGAACAGGAATTGAGCTACCAGCCAGTCTCAGGCTTCATGGAAGCACCCTGCTCATGGGAACCACGTTCACTGCCTGTTCAACCTCTTCAGAGCAAACCAACCATCCACTTCTTGGGGCAACAGCAACCAGGACACCCTCTGTCCAAACCAGGACACCCTCTGTCCAAACCAGGACACCCTCTGTCTAAACACACTCAAAGTCCAACTTTAAACATGTTGCTTTTAGCGTTTTATAAAGTGCTCCAGGAAATCCCAGGAAGGACCTCTAAGTACTTTGATACCTTCTAAAACCTAAAGCTTGATGCCCTTAAAGCTTGGTGCTGCACTGCTGAGGTCAGCAGGATTTTTGCTGTTGGCATCAGCAGGGAAAAGACCAAGAAGTTCACAGCTCAAGTCCCACTGAAAGCCACGAGGAACCAGCTAATGATGCTTAAGTGTACTGTGAAGACAAGAATTAGGGTCCCTTTGGGAATGAAAAGTTATTGGTATCCGAGTTCCCTGAAACAGGAGAACTGCCTGGAACTCCTGGGGCAGGGCCCCCATGTGTCAGAGGCACGGACAGGGCTGAGATCTGCTGTCCCAGGCTTGACCTCCCAAATCTGGGTACCACCTTCCTGGCATTATAAAAACACACAAAAAAAAGGCCAGCTTTTAGGAGAACCTCCTGCTTGTCCAACTTGTGTTACTGTGCATAGGGTTGCACAGGGAAGAGGAGGATGGGGATGTGAGGACAGGCACAGCAGGTTGCATTAATGGGCACGTGGGTGATGGATACCAACACCTTTGGCTTCACCTGGAGAAGCAAACCCAAAGCCCAGCCTGGGTGTTTTGAGCTGAGCACCCAAGAGCAGACGGGTGACACGGGCTGTGATGGAGTGTGGCAGGGTCACCATGGCAGGGTCACTGCATGGGGTGGGACTTGGGCACCCCCCTGCCCAATGCCTCCCATCACTCCAACTTCCCAGCCAGGATCAATATACATATCTTGCCAGGTGATAAGGGGATTATGCAGGGAGGTTTGAAAACCACATGTTAAGGTGCACATTTTGTTCCTCTTCCAGGGCAGGATGGGGTTGTTAAGCTTCTGCCTTTGTATATCAAAGCAAAAGGCCTTGTCATCTGATAAGGACTGCTGATTTTAATAATTAGGGCCACTTGCCCAGGACTTGGGGGCCTAAGGAATGTGCCAGCAGGCTTGGCAGGTTTTTTTTTAATGAGCTTTCCACCTCCCTGCCCCCCTGGGGCTGGAGGGACCAGCTGGGTTTAAGTGACAGCAATGTCCTCCCACCTCCCCACTCTCCATCTCCATCCCTCACCAGCACCCAGGCACACTGTGGTCCTAGCACCAAACACTGGAGCCTCCACAAAGGCTTAAGCTAAAAAAAAAAAAAAAAAAAAGGGGGGGAAGGAAAGGAAAAAAATAAAATAAAAGGGAAAAAGGAGAGGGAAGCACAGTGGGGAAGATGGGCCTCTGGTATGAGCGGCGAGGGGCTGGCTGCAGGCAGGTATTCAGCCCAGCCGGGGCTGCATTCCTTTCCAAGGAGGCCAAGGCATTTCTGATGGGGAGATCAAGATGTTAAAAAATATATATCTGGGAAGAAGAAGAAGAAGAAAAAAAAAAAGAGATAGTAAGGAATGCCACAGGAAAGAAGTTAAATCTTCAAAGATAAATTAATTCCACATGTGGGCGAAAGCAAAGTTATCCCACTACTACTACAAGAAAGTTCCTCTAAAAACCACGTAGGCTTCTACTCTGGTTCAGGGGGATGTGCAGGCCCAGTGACCCTTCCTAGGTCCTTGGTGGGCTTTTGGGTCAACATGTAAGGGATGCAGCTCTTCTGCTTTCTTGATTTGAAACCATCTCAGGTCTTGAGAGTGTATCTGAGGACCACAACACTCAGGGGTGCAGGATGCTCCCCAGAACAGGACCATGGCCTTGCTGGAGGTGCCTGTCACCCCTGGTCTCTTCCAGGAGGGCTGGTTTGCCATGTTGTTCTTGCAGGACTGCTGGGGAGGCTGACTGGGGGCGGAGGCAGCGGGTCTGTATGGGTACAGCACAGGGAGAGGAGGTGTGCCCAAAGATAGAATTAGAGAAAGTGGCCAGAACCAACTCATCTTCCCCTCAGTACTGGGCTGCAGCATCACTCACCTACCAACACCTCATGGACAAAAAAAAACAAACCACAACCAAAACCAAAAAACAAACCCCTAAAGCTGACATATTTTTAAAGTCCTCCCCCCTCCCTCAACCAACACTGCTCCACAGAAGTCCCCCCCATCCTTCAAGAAAACCAGTGGGGGGTGTTTCGCTAAGTTTAAATTTTTTTTTTTTCCCCTTTTTAATTTGACCACCTTACTCCAGTAATTGCACCCAGATGCATCAAGTTGCCTGCGAGGGTTTTAAATTCCAGGGAAAGCGGTGGTCTCCTGCCACAGATGCTGCACACACAAACACAGCCCAGCTCCAAACTCAATATGCAAAGTGTTTTCAGCTGTCAGGTAGCAGTTGCTCTGGAGCTTCAAGGAGAATGTCTGATGTTTCTCAGCCTATTCTTATCTTGATGCGATGACACACAGCATGTAACTCTCTCTCTGCTATGTTAGGCAATGGCCATATCAGAGGTATTATAATGCCATGAAAATTTCAGGGGCTCCTGCTTGTAGCCCCTGTTATGAGGGTGCAATTTCAGAGAGTGGGGTTGTTTGTTGTTTTTTTTTTCTTGTCAAACTCTGCTTCTTAGAAATGAAAGCACTCAGGCAGGTCAACCCACAGACTTATACAGAGAGAGAGAAAATGTACAAGGAGCAGTTGGAGGCAAAATTGAATCTCATTAAGTGTTTTCTTGGGACAAACATCACTGGGCAAGCATGGGTTTAAAAACATTAAAATAAAAAAAGGAAAAAAAACCCACACATGCACAAACCTGAAAAAAAAAAAAAAGTATATTTTAACACAACTATGTTAATCACAGCTTCCATGCTCTAATTGTAGAACACTGCTTGGAGCATAGCTTTACAATGGCATCATTTAGTTTGATAATTGAAGCCAAACTTGGTTCCAATAACTTCACACACAAGGAGCTGCACCGGCGGGTCCTTTCAAAGGCCAGGAAGCACTGGGAGCCGGCAGAAGGCCATCTGCAAGCCCCAGCCTTCCCCAAGCAAGGCCAGTGCCACTGATGTTAGAGCCCTAATGGGAGGCAGATGAGTCCACCTTGGACTGAACAAAACCACGTTACCCAGCGGCACTGCAAAGGAAGAGGAGCCCTCTGTGTACACAAAGTCGTGCATGATAAATTTAGAAGCGCGTATAAATAATAGCTGGAATTCCTGGAGCATGGGGCCAGGTCCAGCACAGCGTGGGGAGGCCAGTTTTAACCACACCACAGCCCAGAGGGAAGGGGAGTCGCCTGGAAGGACAAGGGGGAGGTTCTGCATTTAAAATCTTCCCCGTATTAGGGCGCCAAATATACAACCAGCAGTTTGCATTCGCCTGCTCCCCACCCAGGTGCAAACGCTGTGTTTTCACATCTCCTGTTCCTGTCCATCACTGGTGCTGGGGCCAAGCAAAGTCTTTCAACTGGTCCGGTTTCTGCGCCCTCCTGTTTGCCAGGGGTTTGGCCGTGACTCCATGCCCTGGGATTCCCAGGTGGTCTCCCATCCAAACACTGGGCTGGCCTGAGATCACTCTGCTCCCACCATCAGGTGGGCTCAGCCCAGCGCTCCCGGCTTTCGCTGGGATAATCACATTGAAACCCACCGAAGCGAATGGCCAGAGCCTGCACAGCCCTTCAAAACCAGAGCACGCTGAGCAGAAATTCCTTAATTCCATCACACACACGAGGAGGGAGGTGTGGTTTGGCCACTCACCAGGAAAGACTTTGTGCAAGCTTCAGCTCCAATCCTAGACGCGATCCTAAATGCTGAGTGATGAGAGATAACCCATCCATATGCTCATCAGCTTGGAGCACATGCACGCACAAGTGGCTTCACAAACGGATCGCTCGGGGAGGAACTGAGCAGCATCTCAGCTTGACCTCCCTCTCTTTGCATTGAGATCTCTTGGCCCCATGGAGAGCAAAAGCTCCTGGAAATTCAACAGAAGGTGATCAAAGCAAAACGCACTACCTAATGTCCTAGGAGGGTAGATCTGACATGTGAGGAGCAAGCTGCATTAATCCCTGGACAAAAAAAGAAAAGAAAGAGGGAAGAAAAAAAAAAAGAAAGGAAAAAAGCCCAGCACTAATCAGGCAAGCAGCCACAGCGCTGCAAGAGCTCTCCTGGACAAGGCACATGTGGGTTTAGCAGGGCCTGCAGCTCTAGTAGAACATACAGCCAAACCCTTCCAGCTCTGAATCCCAACAAAGGCTCAGAGATAAAAGCATCAAACATCCCCCTCCTGGAAAGCCAGCGAAGGGCAGCAGTTCAAACCAAGTTCTGGAGAACAGCAGATGCTCAGGCAGCAACACTCAGGCACGAGATGAGGATCCCAAACCCCAAGTCCTCCACAGACCAGCTGCCAGCATTGCCCCCCCGCACACCCCCCAGCAGGAGGGGTCCAGAGGCCGTGCCGGGATGCAGCGCATCCCTTCTGTCCGTCCCCTGCGCCCAGCACCTCCACCCCCTCTGCTGCCAGGAGAGCCTCCAGGGCAGGGAGAGGACCAAAGAGGCCTCTGGCTCCACAGCACCCTCCCGGGCAACGGGAGCCTCCCAGTGCCCCACGGCTCAGCACCAGGAAACCCGGCACAGCTGGAAGCTCTCCAGGGGCAGGAGAGGAGGGCGCGCTCCAGCAAAGCCTCCCCGGGAGAAGCCTGATGCCCTTTGATGTCCATGAATCACAGACACACTCTCAAAATTCCTGTAAACGAGATGTCAAACACTCACCATACCAACCCCCAGGCTCCCGGGCCGGCGGAGGAGAGCGCACATCTGCAGCAGAGCCCTCTCCTCTCAGCCCTGATTCAACAATCCACATTTATGGCAAGGGTGGGGAGAGGAAAGAATACATTTTCAGAGGATTATACAACTCATCATTTGCTCATCAGAGTCTCTCTTCCCCATCCCCCCCTTCACTTCGAGATGGCTCTCACCCTCGCACTGCTGTGCCACCAACATTTCCAACAAAAGAGAAGGGTCTGGCAATGCAGACGCACCCCGGGACCAGGGCACAAGGACACCCTGTCACCACACAACGTCCCTGCGTCCTCATCAGCTCCCACTTGACACAAACACCTCTTAACGAGCTTAACTGAGCTCACTGCCAACAAGAGAGCACCAAAGACCTACCTAAGATCTACTGCTCTACACCTGGAATGCCTCTACCACCTTAAACACTCCAATTTTAAGCATCCTCCTGCACGCATTGGCTCAGAGCCACCCTAGATGGCTTTGACACGACACCAACACCCAACACGATGGAGAGGCTGCACATCACACACATACACACACACAGAGTCAAAATAAAAGCTGATTCTGCCCAAGTTGCAGAGTTTGATGCAGTGACTGCACACATTTCCTCCTCCACGACCGCACAATTGCTTCCCACATAACCAACATCGTTAAACACCGGTTGATGGTGGAGTTGGGGAACTAGTAGGTTACATTATTCATGTGTCTCTATGATCCACTCTACTACTGCTCTTAATAGGTTTGAAAGTTGAACCAATAATTACCGTATGTCCGGAGGACATAGCTGCTATGAAGTTTTTGATCTATAAGAGAACTGAAAGAGCCAATAGGGCTTCAGAGCACAGAATCTTGTTTTCCTCTGCAGAGGAGGAAAAAAAAAAACCCACACTCAGCCAACACCCCCCAAATTCCAGTGTTTGGAGGTATGGAGAAGCAGCAGTGCTCCCAGCCCCCCTCGATTCCCACCCCACCAGCCTTCTGAAAACCACTCTCAAAGTCTTTAAAGTTAAAACAAAGCACAATTTCCAGGGGGGTCCCTTACCTGTATCCATTCTCGATCGTTTCCGTAGCTCTGACATTCGCTGTAACCCTCAACGTCTTGCTGGATAGTCCGACTACTGAAGGCAAGATCTTGTTTTTAAAGTCTGCACAGCTCCATTCCTCTTCTTCATTCAAGGTCGGGAGATAGCCACAGACAACTTTTAAGCTCCCCAGTCCGTTGCTGTTCATGTAAGCGGGATTCTCTCCTCCACTCCGTACGTATTCGAGGTATATATCAGAAGTTAAAAACATCTGGTAAGCATTTTCCTCCATCACAGTCTGAATCTCAGTCTGTGCCTGATCAAACATGATGGAATCTATCTGCTGCTTCTTGATGCTGTCCCTTATGTAGGTCTTGGTAGCAGGTTTGAGCTGCTTGGAGACGATGCTGTTGTTCTCGATGTACCTTTTGTAAATAGCTTTGGCTACTCGCAAAGTTTTGGTATCCTTAAGGTCCATCTGCCTGAAGCCATTGCAGGCAAACCAGAAGTCTAAGGTATCCACACATTTTTCCCTTTCCAGAAAGGTCCGAAAAAGATAGGCACCATCTTGATCTCCCAACAAGGAATGCAAGGATTTGGTCCATCTGGCCAGAGGGGAGTCTGGGGACGCGCTGCCCTCCGGCTCCCCGAGTCCGTTCTCATTCCTCCGCGGGGCAGGAGGCACCGGCATGGCCTTGAAGCTTTGGCTTTTTGGGAGAAACGAGCTGGTGAGTTGCGGGCATGGTGCTTCTCCTTCCTCCCCCGGGACAGGGGGTCGGGGGGCGTCTTCCCTGAAGCTGCTGCTGTGGTCTGGGAGGTGGGCGAGGACCACGGCGCTGCTCATGGCTCCGGAGCTCGGCGGGGAGAGGGGCTCCCAGTTGCTCCAGGAG